GCCCATATGTACACGATGGGCGCACTTGCTGGAGGGGTTAAGCTACGCGACATACTCCTTCATTGAAAACGCTGAAGGAATTTGCAAAAGATGGCGTCCCCTCTTTCATGGGTATATCCCCTCGATAGATACGCCAACATACATTTCGATGCACACGCGACTTGGCCTCTCGGTACGTGTTCTAGGCGGCATTTCATCTGGCATTCCAGCACGCGAAGGAGCTCCTTTCATTTTGTAGAAGTTCCCTTTGCACCCCAACCCAAGTCACTACCGATAAGAGTGCTAAGAGTGCTGACAGTACTAACAGTACTAACAGTGCTAACGGTGCCAACGGTGCCAACGGTGCTAACAGTACTAACAGTGCCAGCAGTACTAACGTGCTAACAGTTCCAACGATGCTAAGAATACTCATTCCTCACTTGCCCAAGTACCAATTCTTGAAAAAAAAAAGAAAAAAATTCTCACCCACTTCTCATTTGAGCTGTGCTACTTGATGAAACGTACCAATTGGTAGACAGATCCCAAATTTACAAAAAGGAGAAATTGAAGACGACGTTATTTAAAAAAAAAAAATGCGTCCATAGGATTATACAAAGAATGCACCCCACAAAATGACGTGTTAAACACCCCCAGATTGTCAACACGGAAGAGAAAAGGAAAAAAGAAAGGAAAAAAAGAAAACAAAAAACAAAAAAAAAAAAGAGTAGAAAAAAAATTAGAAAAGAAAGAAGAAAAAAAAAGGTAGAAAAAAAGGTAGAAAAAAAAGAAAAAAAAACACCACAAAAGGAAGATAAAAAGATATATAGAAAACTATGAAACGATTTTACCATAGGCAAAATAAAACTTCTGGGGGGTCTTCCCACAGGGCTAACTGCGCACGCAGCCAGAATGCTAGAGCCGGGGTTCCTTCGACAGGGTGCGAAGCAGAAAGCACTTCCACACCACAACAACCACGCGGCATATCGTATCGCGAAGCAAAAAAGGGAAAAAAAGGCATCCCTCGCTCTATAGCCTCTAACAGCGATAACAAAACGGGCTCATCACGTAGCTGCTGGAGTTACGCCCTCCCAGACTGGAATGCCCCAAAAAAAAAACAGAAACATGTGGATAACCATATAGTAGAAACCAAAAAGGCATACACCTCCATAAGCACCGCTCCGCATAGAAGTAAATATGCCCATCGTCCAGACCCACGACCCAACATCGAAAGCAGCTCTCCGCGTATATGCCTGGTGAAACGATTAAATGGAAAGGTGGAGAAAATTGACATGAAGGATATACAAACCGCCTTTCCTAACTACATACCATATGAGAAAAACGACAACAGCGCACTCCTATCGTCAGTCTTTAGTTCCGCAGAAGAGACAGATCAGACCCAAGGCAAGGTTGGCGACATTTCTAACCTCCCTGTTGTGTATCAAGATGTGGAACTGAACTTAGATCTCGTGAAAAAGTGTAGACAGGCATCGAAAAGTAGGAACCCCTTCTCCGGGTAAAAAAAAAAAAAAAAAAAAAAAAAAAAATATACATATGTACACGTACATGCATATATCAAAATAGAGGGAAAGATAAATGCACAACTGCTGTTCTCATCTCATCCTTTTGTAAAATATCCACTATTTTTTTTTGTTTCCCTTTTTTTTAATTTTCAAAATATGAGTCTATCGAAAAGCAGGGGCCTCACACCCGTGTTCTTCTCACCAACACAGCGCGACATCTGCTCCGCAAACATCACTACTGTTATCTGATTCACCCCTACTCTTCACTGGCACCCTCCCATTGACAAACTATGCCTCATACATATGGTTGCCCGATTCACCTTTTCTCGATTTGCATCCCCATTAGCAGAATCCGCCAACGAAGTGCCAAACCCTTTTCTACGGTCAAGCTGCCTATTGGGACCACCCGCACAAGTCAAACGGGTAAGCTCACTAGAGTGACCCCAGGTGAAGGATTAGGGAAAGCTTCTCACCCATGGGATGCCAGCAGCTGGCACTTCTCCTAGCCGCTCACATGGTGCTACCCCATGATGTGCCTAACTTTATGTCCATTCCGCTTTCCCCTTTCCCAATTCAGCTCGCCGGTCGAACCAAAAGGCGCCGCGACCCTCCAGAAGTTTCAGTTGCAATAACACCATTTATAATCCTTCTGCTTTCCACCCAAAGAACGGACTCAAGTCCACTCCACAGAAAAGAACCTTCTCCAATGTGCAGACATGGTCTAACACCCCAGGAGGGGGATCCAACTTTTCTTCTTCTGGGAGAAGTCCCATTAGGAGGTTTCAGTCTGCTCAGGTAATTCCGCTGACAAGGGGATCACAAATATGTGACAAAGCGGGAGGGGGAAGTGGAGGTGTCTCTTCCCTTCCGTAACAAATTGTTTAATCATATGCAGCCTATCGTTTTAGAAGCTGATGGCTAATCAAAATTCGCCCCTCTTCATCCCGTCAAAAATGCTACTCCCCGTTTTGAAGCATTCCTTCGCGTAGTAGTCGTCTGTTCGTTTTAAGTACCATGCCCCGCTCTCCGCAGCAATTCAAATCCCCTTTTTTTTTTTCATTTTACTGTGGTCTCTTCTCACCGCACCACCAGCAGAACGCATCCACGTCTTCACTTCGCTCACCAGAAGTGGTCGCTCCGAAGACAGATACCCCTCCCCAACAGACGATTTTACAGAAGCCATACGTCATCCCCATGCTGTTAAGACATTCTACAAATATGATCCTGAGCCAGCTAAGAAGTAAGTCGGAGTTGTATCCTTTAGTCCCCCCATTCTGTGGCCACTTACACATATGGATTGACCCCTAAGTGGTCTACACCACCAGCGGTTAAGTAAACTTTCCCCCCTACCACTGCAACCCTCCCCACAGAGATGAAAGCCAACCAGAGGACCGACACCAAAGGAACCAGTATCAACATAAAGAACAAGGAGAAGCAGAAAGAGGTACAAGTTGGACCAAGCTCATTTTCAAAAAAACAGATGGATAACCAAACTATCGTGAATGGAAAAAGAGACAAAGTGGATTATCCTTGCGACAATTCCTCCTCCGTAAAAGACTACCACCAAGTGGTAGTAGGCACAAACTGCTGTAGTAGCTCCCCAGTGGGGGGCAAAAAGGGAGATCTGACACTTCAGAGGGTAAGTCTCTCCCCTGTGCGACACACACTGCGGCAGAGCAATGACGCATGAAAACTGCTCACCGCGTAACTACGCCTTCCTTCGCTTCCCCCCCTTCGGCAGCTGCTCGCGAAGAAAACCAAAGTGAAGTCAATAGAGAAGGAAAAGTACATAGAGAAGGTGAATCCGTACAAAGTGATCCACCAAAGCGACGATTTTGCAAGCATCTACCAAAACAGAGGAGACAGAATCACTAACGATCACTGCATCGATGTGTCCAGTTTGCTATGTATCCCTGGGTATGTGGGGGCTTACCTATGTGAGTCAAATTCGACAGTTAATCATTCCTATGTGAATGGAAAAGGAAAAACACAGGAGAAGGATACAAAACGAAGTGGGAGCATAACCTCTGCTAGAAGTTTCACTACACATCCACAACAAGAACAAGGACAACTTCCTATATACCCCGACCTCCACCTTCTAAATGATGACATAATTTTATATTATCTTGAAAAAGCTATAAACAGCTCACCCACACTTAACGTCGATTTGAAGTACCTCCTATTTTTGAGCGAAACTTTGAAAAACAGAAAATTGGTACGCGACTCATGGGGGCCGAGGGTACCTCTCTCCCAATAGTAGTGTAAACTAACCTGATGGATATCTACAAAGTGGAGATACCTACCTAATTCAACACGAACCTTTCAAAAATGAACATCACCATCGTCATCACCATCATAACCAGCGTCATCACCATCATCATCGCCATAGTCTAACCAACGCCATATGTGTGATCACTTCAGAGAATGTTCTCGGGTCACAGGACTCAAAGAAGACATCCCTTTCGCATGAGTATAGCGCTTTGCAAAAAGATGTCGTGAAAAAAAAACCCTTTTCCATACAAAATGACAGCACTGTCTAATTAACATGTGCTGAAAAAGTCGACCTCCCCTTTTTAATCCCTCTTTAGTATACAAGTGTACTTCTTCGCAAACTCTATCTTTTCGCTTCCGTTCCCGCGCCCGCCCTAGCACATGAGCGTCTCGCTGTAGTTTTGATATGCGCCGCGGTTGAAGCTTCACAGTGTTAATTAATTAATTAAGTATTTTATTTCTTTTTTTTTTTCCTGTTCCTTTTCCATGTGTTATCTCACCACCCAGAGGTGGGACGGTTCTACTGCTACGCATTCGATTTTGTGTTTTCCTAGTGGATCTTCCACCTCCGTTATCTGTGGCAGCAGACTTTTTTTTCTTTTTTTAAGACTCATGTTTTTTCCTGAGGGGTGCTTCTTCTTTATGAATATCTTTTTTCTCCTTTTAATTGTCTCAAAATGGCGCATAGAAGAATGCAACCTATTTATTCCTTCTTCCCCAACAATCCTTTTAAGCACATTTTGTTCTGTTCCTCGCCACATGGGAACCAAACCCCGAATGCGAAATGTGTGCCGCCATAAATCGCCTTACACGTATATAAAAAAAAAGAGGATTCCAAAATGGAAACGCAAAGAAGGGGGAACCCCAACGGCAAAATCTTGTACAACATAAGGACGGACATGGAACCATTTTAGTGAAAATACTACAACTTCGTCGCATTTGCTTCTTATCATTTGTGAAAATCACAGCCCTAATGAGTTTTCCCTTCAAATTAAAACATAAGCAGCCACGCAGAACGATGAAGGAAGAAGGAAGAACCCGAGCTTCCAAATGCAGAATTCTTATCGTATTGGCATTCACCCATGGATAAAAAATGTATATACTTTTTTTTTTTTTTTTTTTTTTAACCCATATTTTTTTAATTGTACACATAAGTACTCACATTTTACACCATTTTTCTTCATAACAGAACGCTGGCCTTTTTTCTTCCTTTCGTGCCAACACAGTAAAACGATTGCCACAAAATGTACAAATCTTTTAAACGCTCTTGGGGGAGTTATCATTTCATGCGAAATGTTTTACGTGCACATGATAAATTGTCCCATTTTTTTCATCACAATATAAGGAAAAATTGCGGAGTGTAAAATATGTGGGGGGCTACTGAATGTTAAGCGGATAAAGGGTTGAACGGGAGAACGATTGAAAGGGCGAACTGATAAACTGAATGAAGCTCATGAACTGTTGAGCCGCTAAGGAGTTAAACAATTTGCATTACCCCACTTTGCATATTTCCGCATACTTCTGTATTTGCATACCTTTTTTCCTTTCACGTTAATGTACATGGTCGTTAACGCTTTTTTTTTCCACCGCTTTTTACGTGGGACTTTGTTAACATTTTTACTTTAAAAAAAAAAAAAAACACTTGTTCGCAAAGAGTATATGGAAACAGCATATGGAAGCAGCTTATGGAAACAGCTTATGCAAACAGCTTATGCAAACAGCTTATGCAAACATTACATGTCACATTTACACGCATAAAAGGGAAGAAAAAATAGCAGTAATTTCTTTTTTTTTACCAGGGGAAAACAGTATTTAAGAAGCAACAGGGGGAATATTATGGATTAGCGAGTTTCCGTTTGCAGTTACAATTCCTTTTGAAAGTTATAGAGACGAATCATTCCCGAATTATAAAATTTTGCCTCTCAATAATGGACGAATTTCAGAGTAAGTACTTGTATACGCGTATGCATACGATCTTATCTGTATGTATATGAAAAAGGCCAAATTGTATTTATTAATGGCCGAGAATACAAGAGGAAACCATCATTTTTGGAAGAAGTTGCCTGATGAGAATGCATACCCGGACTCCTACTAAACATTTGTCATTTTTCACCCCCGCGTGAATCCTCCCTGTGTGTGGAGAATTCCTCGTGGAGGTTGTTAACGGACGTGTGCACATATTCACATATGTCTACAGAATGTTCCTGCGTGTTTTGCGCCCCGCCGAGGATGTCACTCATTTGTCTGTGGTCCCTTGGCTTCACCCCTTCATTTCGCAGATTCAGGGCTCAATAAGTACAAACTTGTTTTTCTAGGAGAGGTACGAATGAGCAGCAAGAACAAAAGAAAGAAAGGAAAAAGAAAAAACATTAACATGTGTACAGATTGACATGTAAACAGGCTCTTCAAATTATTTTGTCCTCTTTTTCATATCTTCATCATTTCTACCACCCTCGCCCGTAGCAAGCTGTTGGGAAAACTTCGATAATTACCCGATTTATGTATGACACCTTTGACAACAACTATCAGGTATGGCCAGCGCAGACACAGACAAGATGAGAAAACGAACGAGCACTTGTCCATCCATCACGTGTCTGCCTTTGTGTGCGTCAGTCCGAGTTGCAAGTGTCCACATAATTGCCCGTTCAGAAAAAAAAAATAAAAATAAAAAATAGCTAGTTGTCCACTCCGTTGCGGGATAGTTAGCTAGCTACTTTCTTTTTTTTTTTCTTCTTCTTCTGTTCATGCGCAAAAAGCTACTATGTGTAGTGTCACGAATATGTAAGCATTAATTTGTTCCCATTTCCTTGTTTTTCCCCCAAGTCCACCATCGGAATCGACTTTCTAAGCAAAACCTTGTACCTGGATGAAGGACCAGTACGCCTGCAACTATGGGACACGGCTGGTCAGGAACGATTCAGAAGTTTGATACCAAGCTACATCAGAGACTCAGCTGCGGCTATTGTCGTTTATGACATTACCAACAGACAGTCATTCGAGAATACAACCAAATGGATACAAGACATTCTAAACGAGAGAGGAAAAGACGTGATCATCGCCCTAGTGGGAAATAAAACTGATTTGGGAGACCTCAGAAAAGTTACGTACGAAGAAGGGATGCAGAAGGCTCAAGAGTACAACACAATGTTCCATGAAACCAGTGCCAAAGCTGGCCACAATATCAAAGTCTTGTTTAAAAAAATTGCCGCCAAGTTACAGAACCTTGATAACTCCAATTCGAACGATGCCAATGTCGTCGATATACAGCTCACTAACAATGCAGCGGCGAATGAGAAAAATATGCTCAGCAAGTGTATGTGTTAAGGCGTGGCCACGCGGCTGAGTATGCAGCTAATCATGCGGCTAATCAGACGCTGTTATGAGTACAAGTGACACTCGCCAATATGTTAGTGCTTTTATATTCCCCCCCCTACCCCTCTCCCACTTTTTTCTTTTTCTTTTTTAAATATTGTTAATTCTTCCTTTATAATCCCAGAATTTTATTTTTCATAGAATTTTTAATAATTCTTTTATAATTAGGAATAATAAGCCTTTTAAAAAAATATTAGAAATTTCCCCTATATCTGCTATATGCCATCTACCATCCCCCATCTGCGTGTGTACATACACATCCCCCCATGCGTTCGTGAATGCGTCCATACGTTGGTGCATACATACTCGTGCATATACTTACATTTATTAGTGACAAGAACTAAAGTAGCTTGATCTTAATTTCAAATGTTTTAGTTTCTTTTATTTTTTTTTACCTCCACGTTCCTATTTAATATGCCATTCGGTTCCGACCTGCCTCCGAGTTGTGCTCGAATGGCCCGCGGGATGATTCCTAACGGTGAACACACACCAAGTGAGGTCCCTATGATCACCTCGCACTGTTAACCTGTCGACCGGGTTTCCTTACCGGTCGAGTCATTTCCATCGTTTCTGTGAAACAACATGTGGTTTGTTCCACTTAGGTGGTGCCTATAAGTTGGGGGGTTGCTACTTGCGTGCTTCCCCTTAACGCCTTTTTTTTTTTAAAAAAGCTAATTTTGGAAGTGTTTTCACCACGCTTCATAACTGGTGTGAAGAGCACACCCACATGGTGCCGCTGCTTCATTTCGAGCGCCTCATTCGGTTGTGTACCCAAAAAGGCTCATTCAGTTGCGACACGTCCATGTTGCTATGTGTGTAGCAGTCTACGCATCACTCTACGCATGAGTGTACATATGCATGTACGACTCTACCCCTTCGGAGGCACACATACACGATTGTAACTTAAGGGGGCCACTTTTATAACCTTGTGAGGTGGTTTTCAGCTGGGAAGACGCTAAGAAGCGTCACAAAAATTACTACGATGAAGAATTCCCCCTCACTAAGATGTAACACAAATTGCGTACAAAGTCGTAACTGATTATTTGTATTTTTCCCCGACGTATCCTCTCTTTCAAGTGATTAAAATTTTTTTTAATATGAACATTCTCGTCATTTTGATGAAAACTCTGTTTTTCTTTTTTATCTTTTAATTTTTCCTTCACACTTTCTTTTTCCAAATTGTCTTCCCCATTTGAGTCTTGCACTTCTTCACCCTGGTTCTCCCTTAATTCCTGTCTTTTTCTGTACCTCTGGAGTGTTTTCTTAATTTCCACGTAATCCTCCTCTATCGGCTCAAAATCGAGAAAAACGAAATCCTCGTAGTTGAACGGGTCCACTTGACTGATACTGTCAGTGGGAGGTCGGTTATGCAGATCGGGACTCTCCTTGTCTCCCTCATTATTTCGCAGCACCGTTTGCACATCGGGGGAGTCCTTTTTCTCTATTTTGACAGCCTTCGCAACGTCAGATTGGAAATCCTTATTACCTACCATAGCAGAAGTTCTGACGGGATTTACCTTTTCCACTTCACCTATGCGATCATCTGGATGGATGATCACAACACTCTTCTTATTACTTTCATTTTTTACACTACTGCTATGCAGAGAAGTGAGAGTGTCTTCCTTTCCGATCGAGTCAGTCGTTTCTATGTCACACCATGCCTTGTGAAGTTTCTTCGTTTCAGTATCACTATCCTTTTTGCTCCTCCTTTTTTTACTTAGCTTAGCCTTCCCAACCTCCTTATGGGAGTCATTTATCTGAGAATTTTCCCCTAAGTGAGTTATACCTGTTCTGGAATTTCCCTTTACATCATATGACATGACGGCAAGGCTGTTTTCCACTTTCATCTCTGCTTCTGTGTCACCCGAGGCGTCACTGCGTTTTGCACTGGGATTTTCACTTAGGTTTTCACTTAGCTTTTCACTTGGATTTTCCGTGGGGGTTTCACCAGGGCTGCTACTCCGGTGGGCACTCAAACTGGTCTTCTTTCCTCCCTCTGCGCTATGTCCATTTCCACCCCCACTGTGTGGAGTGGCATCTCCATCCCTTTCCATTTTACTCTCGGGGGAAAATCCCGTCAACATGGGGGCCACAACCCCATCCATGATTTCTCCAGGTACATTACTCTTCTTTAAAAAAAAAAACTTGTCATTTTTTTCACCATCACAATGGCAATTCTCATCGACTTCATCAGTGTCCTCAGCATAGATGTCCCTTTTGATCGTGCTGCTACTACGCCGATTGAACCCACCCACAGGGATGTTCTTTCTCACGATCATATGATCACTTTGGGGCATTATAAAATGGGGTTTCTTCCCGTTTCCAAAAAACACATTATACTTGTTCATCATGCGGAGGTAATTTCTATTCCTTTCTCGGTGTGTCTTTGCGGAGGTGTGTAGAGTGGGAAGGGGGTGCTTTAACATTTTTGTGTCCTCTTCCTTAGGGTCCCTATCTGATGAGTGTTTAGTGGTTTTGCTGGTCGGCAATTCCCTTTGTTTCTTTCTTTCCCCCCTCCCGTAGGCCCTTTTTTTCCCCTTTGATGATTTCTTTTTCCTTCTTGAAGTGTCTCCTTCGATGGAGTGCGTCGCTTGAGGCCCCTTCTCTCCCTTCCGTATATCCTCCCCAGTTTCGCTCCCTCTATCGGTGTTATTATTGTTAAGCAATTCGACAAGGGCATTGTGCCCGAGAGACCTTATGGGGTCTTCCTCTTCATTCTGATTTGCTCCCTGCATGGTGCCCTGTCAACTTATTCGATTGGGGAGAAACACCGCAGATGGGATGTCCACACGGAACAGCCACAGCGGTAGGAGTTTCAAATCAATGGGATAGAACGCAACCACGACTGAGGCTAACGCGGGGATAGCAAAGGAGAAGCTACCTTTCAGTTGGGGCTACTCCAAAAGGGGCAACACTCTTTCATAAATACAAGGTGGTGGACAGAGAAACTCCGTGGGACACAAAACAGAACAAAACAACACTGTCGTTTTTACAAAAGTGCAGGCTGACTTCCTTTTAAAAGCTAGCCAACAAGTGATCTACTCTAATAGGACATGTGGCGGGAAGACGTTTTTTTTTTTCTCTTACTTCCCACATGGGACATGTATTAAAATGGACGATAGCAAGGGAAGCATTGAAACAAACGCGCCTTATGCCATTTTTTTAGACGATTTATTTTTATAAGGCAAGGTGTGCACATTCTGCATATTTATGTGACGCTATTTTTGTTGGCCAATTCGGAAGGCAGCCAGCTGCAAAGCTGTGGGTGCCTTAATTGCGTGAAAAAAAAAAAAAAAAGATAGCAAGAGAGGAAGGTACGCATATAACGATGTAAGCATGTAAGAATGTAAGAAGATGAAGAATAACCAACCACGTGAAGAAGAGTTCGCTACTTTTTTGCCGCCCCTTTCCTTTTTCCCCCCCTTTGCAACTCACAAGCCATGTGCGCACAGCCCTGCTCATCGCTATAATGACACGGGCAATGGCCACCAAGAAGCCTACCCCGGAGATAAGCCCTCAAGGAATTCAATTCTATGGGCCCCTTGCTCAAAAGAACGTATTTTTTAATTTTTCACATTTTTCAGATGTTTTCGCCATGCGCTCTGCAGATACACTTTACCATTCCTGAGTCGCACATGTCTGTTTGATTAAGCTTCTCCTGTGCCGATTCGTTCGGGCCTTAGATCACCCAGTCCGCGGCCGAAGCAACGCGACCCCAAATTAGTGCTGAACCTGACACAGGAAGAAAATGAAGCCCCCCCAGTCAACACACACTCGTCAATTACACCAGATAAAGAAATGGGTATACACTTCCTCACCTGCCTTCTAGCATGTGTCGTTTTAACCCCCAATGTGCTATCCTTTCGTAACGGGAGGATTATCAAAATGTACAATTTGACGAAGGTTAATGTGAAGCAATGGGGAAGCGTAGGAGATGCGAAAGGTAGAAGGGATGCTGTGGCATCGGGGGGAAAGTTATTCTATTCGATGAACAGAACCCCAAGGACAAATGTCAAAATTAGGCACAGCCACGTCAACCTGTCTTTAAAAGAAAAAATGAATTTCATTTTTCACGGCGAAAGTGACATTACCTTGTTGGACAAACTGATAGCCTCCACCAGTTATATTCTCCCCTTCATGGATGCTATTCAGGTGGGTTTTCCAGGGGGGGCACTGGCCACGTCTCACAGCATCATGGCGTGTTAGTAGCTACGTTTTGCTAACACCTCGCCGGGTTCTTCATACCCCGAATAGTACACACCTGTGTTTGTGCGCCCCTGTGTTTATGCCCCCTGTCCAAGTTCATCACATCGCCGCTTCCAATTTCCCCCCCCATCAAATGCAGGCTTTCGTCATGCCACTCGTAAATATGCTCCCCCTGTCGCTACACAAGTAGGAATTCTTTTTCCTCTCACGATTGAGAAATGAAAAAAGAGAACCACGCGTGGAGTAGATACACAGAGCGAAACGGGATAATCATGACGTACGTTCGCACTGTGTCTTCCGATTAGTGTGCTGCTCGCTCATGGGTACATCATGTGCAGTCACGCCGCAAATTAATTCTCCCCCCCAGGTACCTCTTCCAAATCGAGAAGCTAAACCAGATGTACTCGTCCATCCCCTTCCTATCCTTTGGCACCTTCATGGGTCTCTACTTCCTCTTCGTCAAAGAGAACCGCTTCAAGTTTCACTACTTTATTAGGTACCACCATATGCAGGTAGGGACAACCACCCCCCCCGAGTATAGACATGCGCCCAGGTCAACATCGCACATTGGGTCACCACTCCACTACCACATCAACACACAAACAAGAGGAGGTAATTTTCCTCATACCCCCACGTGACCATTCCATCCCCTTTTATTCCTCCTACTACTCCGCAGAGTTTAATACTGTCCATGTTCGGCTATGCGCTGGCTTTGTTTTATTTCCGAGTTTTTCCTTACTCCTATAACGACACGGACATTTTCAATCTGACCATTTTGTACTCTACTATGGCTATCTACTTCGGATCGTTGATCATTCCTTTCCTTTCGTGTCTGCTTGGATAGTAAGAAAAGGACCGCCAATGGGGGGTTCCACCTTTTTTTTCCCCCCACATGTGTATATACACATGCGCGCATAACTGTTGTGACGGGTTAGCCACACCTTCACAGCGTCATCCCCACGCGTATTGCTTCATCTGAATACATCACCCTTGCCGCCCCCCATCGCAGCTACATCGAAATACCAGTCATATCCGAAGCGATTAAGCTACACATAGGCGAAAAGAAACAAAACGAGTGAAGCAATACGACTGAGCTGGATCAATCGCAGTACAGAACAAAGAATGTCCTGGGAGCGACGAGCCTACCAAGACACCATCGCCGCTGCCTGTGCTCTCCCTCCCGTATTATTGAAGTTCCCGTCAAAACGGGGAACTCCCCATCGAATCGATTAAGAGGAGCCGAAAAGAATTCACCAAATCGGCATAGTCGACAGAGTCGACCTAACTGCCCAGCTAGCCACGTCGTCCCAACTCGCCAAAATCGAAAAAAAGAAAACTCCACAAACTTATGGTGCGCGTTTGGGCCCTACTGCCACAGCTGGGATAAAATTTGTAAAAAAAAAAAAAAAAAAAAAAAAAAAAATATTCCACAGCACATTGCAGCACTGCGCGGCGACGTACCCTTGCAACTAATTCTCCGCATGGAGATGGGGGCATCTCCCTGGTAAGGACTTCTGGCAATCTTTCATCACACGACTGGACAGCAACAGAGGTGCGCCATACTGCGCAAACGAATGAATCACTTTGTGTGCGTGACCCTCGCGGCCAACCCTGCGTCGATAGCTACACGATGACGACTGCCCCGATCGCTATCCGACAACATCTGCACGCGCGTCAACCGATGCAGTCCTTCAAAAAGTACACCGGTTTCTTATCCGTAACCCGCTTTCCTTTCACGGCTATTTCGTCTAAGATATTTTTTATGTAATTGGACGGGATGTTAAAACTTTTGGCAAAAATGGAAAAGGGGACCCCCTTTTTCCCCTCTCGCTCGAATATTTTGAACATACTAATTTTCGCCTTATCGAGATCGAAAACGTGCATTTTTTTAACCTGTTTGGCTTTCTGTTTGGAAGCAGAGGAGGAACCGAAATGGCTATCAGTGTCCTGAAGAGTCCGCTTGTTATTCTTTCCCAGTTTGTTGTCCCTACTGCTCGTGTTGCTCACGCCATGAAGGTGACTCACGCTGTTTGCGCTGTTAAGCCCAGCGTCATTCGTCGTGTTGGCTGCGCCGGGCACAGTGGCGGCACCACCCATAGCTCTCCCTGCTCCAGTAGCATTCAGCACGTGCTCATCAGATGTGTAGTATTTAAACAGAGTATGAGAGGAATCTATATTTTCTTCATTCCTTGTTTCGATAATCGTAAATCGATTCTTTTTCACATTCGTTTTATAGTGTCTTTCCTTTAGTACCAAGGAATAGTCTTCATCCAATGTTGGCAAAAAGGAATATGTATGTTCGCAATTTTTTAACACATCTGCACACACTACATAATCAGTTTCTTTATTCCTTTCCACATTTTCCTTTACAGGATTGTTCAGGTTAATTTTAACTTTACTTTGACTTACATTTTCGCTAGTTTTACTATTCGAGTTTGTAGGGGCAGTGCTGATCGTCGTGGCGGACGGGGAGCTGCTAGGCGTCACCCCCTTACTCGGTTTTAACGATACTTTACTTTGTCTTAGTATATATGTATTTACCGTGCTGCCTTTATTGCACGTCAATTTTTTTACGTTATCAGTGCTATCCTTCTGTATGTACAGGGTCGAAATCTCATTGTTGTTTTGCTCAAATAAACCAACAATATCTTTATTGTTACATTGCAGCCATTTAGTGGAAACAAACTTTGGCACTTTTATTATCTTTATGTTTTCACTTTTCATCGACGCTTTGGAGGAGCTGTCATTTTCTTTTCCTCCGAGCATTTTTTCCGCGGTTGGTTCGGCGGTTCGGTGGTTCGACGGTTCGGCGGCTTGGCGGCTCGGCGATTGGACGATTCGACGGTTGGGCAAGGTCAGATGCGTGACCGCCCAGTGGAGGGATGCTGCTACACTCGCGTACAAACTTGTGTGTGGGGGCAAAACTGGTGTAGTGGGGTTGTGATATAATGCTACAAAATACCGCGACGCTACGACACTGAGATGGAGCGAAGCTGCGCCTACATGAAAGCTCTCTTCCGTGAGCGTTTCAAGCACATACCCAGTTAATATGGACGCATGTGGACACCAGGCAGATCAACCAATTCGATCTGTTCTTGACCAATGGCTCCAAAAGATGTAGGAGGTGAACGGAGGTGGTTTCAAAAAAAAAAGAAGCAATTTTTATCACAAAAAAAAAAAGAAAGGGAATTGCCATGCGTTGTGCAATATTGGGATTGTTCCCCTTCTCTTTGGCCTTTCCTTTTGCGAAAGGGTACACGCATGGCACGTAATTACAGTACCTACGTGAGAAGCATACTCATTTGGTTCACTTCTCACTTGCGCATGTCAGCAAGTGCTGTCACATGAGATAAGTACATTCATTTACATCAAAAAACTTTATGCGATCACTCAGTAAACAAAAAAAATTGCTCTTACAGGAGTGGCCCATTTGTCAGATGAAAGAAAGTTTCATACTTTTTTTCTTTTTACGTACAAAATGGGAAGGTGCCCCAGAGTCTCGGAGGACGTTTTAATTTGTGAAAAAATCTCAATCAAACGCAGTCAAAAAGAAAAGAAAAAGTAAGAGGTAATATTAACATTCAGTAAAAAGGTAAGTACCACTCAGTAAAGGTAAGTTTATGCATATATATATGTATTCATATATATCACTTGGGAGGGAAAAAAGAATGAATACATAACATGCATAACCATGAAGCGCATACATTACATGCATACATCATATGCATGCCTACGTACGAATACATAATGCTTCCCTTTAGGTTATTATAAAAACGTTGCAAGCAAATAACCCTGCAGCGCCGCCATACCAGCAACAAGGCAGCGAACGCAGGGGAAATTATTCACAGCCCCACTACGTACGCGCCTTTGCCATAGCCTTTTACGCATTCACATTTTTCCGGTGCGCCTTCTTTTCGACCAAAGGAGATGAAGCAATATTTCCCGCTATGAATTAAACTCAAAATGAAAGCATAACTTCCGTTTGGGCATTATTTCTGCAAAAATTGCGACATGTTGAGACTATACGCAGTGTCATGTATTACGTAAAAAACAGATACATTCAAAACTTTTACCTGACCAGGCAATATTTTTTTTTCTGACATGCTTCCTACGGATGAGACAATTCAAAAGCGTTCAAAAAGTTGTACTAAAAAAAAAAAAAAAAAAAGGCTAAGTTAAAAGTACGGTCGCAAAAAAGCCGTAGTTCATGGACATACGCCGTTAACCCGTGTGAATTGCGCCAGAGAGGGGAAAATCTCCATGTAGGGGTAAATGCAAACATACGCAAAAGTGTACATATGCAGTCACGCATATCTGCTAGTGCTTCCTTTAATTTTTCCTGTGCGCACAAAGACTTAAAGCGTGTGCAGGAATTTAAACAAACGGGGGGTAGCGCGCAGGCAAATTGTCGTACATACATATGCATACGTCTGAACGTCGAATTAAGCGAAAATACCACACTGCAGTTATCACACAATGTAGTTGGGGAAATTTAATACAAGGGTCTTTAAAATGAATTGACAAAGTACACACACATTGGGCCTTATTTGTGCTTTCAGGAGGGGGCTGCAGCATCTGGCAGTAATTTTATGCGCTTACGCCTATATTGTTTTTTTTTTTCCCCATATAGCTAGCTCCGTCATTTTCGCCTGAACGGTTCATGCAAATGTGTACATATCTGCATATGTACGTTCATACATACGATCTTCCTTAGTTCTTCACTTTCTGACTTCCTCCCTTCCTCGCTCTCCCCTCAAGAAATCATCGACGTGCAGACGACGTTCTGGTTCATGTCGAAAACGCAGAAGTTGGGGATGGACTCGTGCTGCTTGGACACGAATTTCCGAATTTCTTGCGAAGTTACACCGCCCATGATGGAGCAGGATGGCGAAAAGGCAACCCTATAAGTCCTGGTTATTTCGCCGAGACTTTCCTTGCACTTTGAGAGGCTAAATTGATCATAAAAAGTATAAAATTCTTGTTCGTCAATCGATTTATCGTCTTTATTCAACTGCTTATTTTGTTCGAATAGGATTAGCGCAAACATCAGGAAAATAATTTTGTTTGTTTTTTTGTCAAAGTTTTCAAATGGTACTTTGAGAAAGTGGGACAATTTGCAATATTGTATTTGGATCCCCGCTTTGTTGGCACCTGTTTCATCCTTCTTCTGTAGGTCCTCCGCTTTGTCCGCACCTGCCTCACCCTTCTTTTGCCCTTCCTTCGCCTTATAATACGATTCCTCAATTACATGATTGCCAAAATCGGAGAACAAAAAAGCGAACTTCCCATTACACATTGCAGCAAAGAAGCCAATATTTTTCTCGTGACAAAATTGGTTCATCTTCACTAATTTGTATAAAGGATAATCTTCACAAGAGACGGAAACAGAGGTGTACGTGTTTATGTATTCCTCCACGCTGATTGTTTCTCCCATCGTTGTATTACTTATTTCCCCACTTTCCTTCTGCACCAATTCGCTGTCAATAATTATGCTGTCATTTGAAGTATCCATTCGCCCAATGTATGCCTTCATATTTATCATCTTATTTATACTTTTCAATTCTTTAAAAATAGCGACACATGCATAATTATTTATGTCCGATTCGTTCAGAAAAAAAATATTCTCCACCATTTCTTCATTCACTATATTGTCATCAATTATCGTTATGTTAATTCCATTAAGGATTAAATTTTTGCATATTTCTATGTTGATACCGCTTAACCCAAGGATTAGCACGTTAGACTTCATCATTCGGTTTTGTGCCTTCACTCCCCATAGCCGCAGCTGGCGATCGTAGATCTTCTCCTTTTCCCACTCTTCATTGTTTTTCATTTTCTCGCGTGGATGGGCAGTTCACAAATGTGCGTGGTGAGAAAAGCTATGCCGATGACTCAAATAGGGATTCACAGCTGATAGAAGTGAACACTTCGATGCGAATGCGCTGCAGGACGGATGCTCTACAACTCCCCAGTACAGTGACGCAAGTCCAATCTGTGCAGCAAAACGAAGGAAACGGAAACTTACTGCGAATTGTTTGCACAGTGCGAGAGAAATACAAACGAAAAAAAAAAAAAACCCAAAAGGAGCACGGATAAAAAGATAAATTTTCACAAAATTTTTAACGATAAATTTCACAAAAATAATCACAAAAAGGCGCTTCAAACGAGCATCATATCATGTTTCCGAGGGACTGTCTCACAGAAGGAAGCAATTTCTCCGATGCGCAATTGTCAAATGGTCCTTTTTGAGTAACTTCTCTTTCACTTTGCCACTTCGCATCCATTGCAGTGGAATGGACAAATCTTCGCTCTCCAACAGCTTAAACGATCGGAAGGACTGGTAAGATTTACCCTTTGTAAAATTATATATTTATTTATGTGGCCATCTGTAATTGTGCCTAAGGAAAGTGCCCTCACAATAGTGTAGAAATGTTTTTTTTTTTTTTTTGCACAATTTGTCATTCGAGTTACCTTTTACGACTGCCTCATGTTTATACAGTACCTGCGGATTTAATATACATATATATATATGTTACGGAAATGCTTCTCCCTGCAAGAGCGCGAATGGGCATGGATAAATATATATGTAGGCAGTAAAGTGCATCCTCACGCCGCCCCTACCGGGAGGAAACCCCCGAAATGGCGGATCTTCTCACGCTGTGAATACCGCATTCAAATTATTTAGCTGCTCAACGTGGAGAAATAAAATCGCTAAGAGTAGAAAGCAAAGGAATGCCCTCTCCGCACAATTTTGTCCCTTTCGAGCAAGAGGATGTGTCAAAGGTGCCGGCCCATTTTTCTCCGCATGAGTGATATCTCATACTGAAAATGAAACGCGTCAAATAAGTGGGAGAAAGAAAAAAAAAAAGAGAAAAATGTCTCCATTTTTTTCATT